TTTGACTATCTTACTTATTGTTAAAGTGCAGTATATATATTTTTAATGCCTCAAAGATTAATCAAAATGAAAATTTCCACATTTAAACACATGGAAAAATTAACACTTGGGTATAAATAATTACTCGTTAGATTTCTGAATATTAAGCTGTCTTTACAGTATGTTCTACAATTTACCATACATATTGAAGTTTGTATTTTTGAAAAGGAATATAACATAATCTGTTCATTATTATTGAACAAACACCATTATTTTCAATATGCAGCATTTATCTATTCTCTGAAGCCTTATATATAAAACATCAAATATCAGAATGTGGCATTTTAGTCAAAAGAGTTGTTTGTGTCCGAAAAAACAATTATTCATAACTTTTTCTCTTTATTAGAATAGTCACAATCTTTCATCATCGCCATATTGGAATACTTCCCGCTCTTTGGTTGGTTTAACGAACTGGTTTCAGTTACAGCAAAAACAAATGAAAAACCGGTTCTGGGTTTAAACTAGTTTAAAACTAGTTTGTGGAACAAATGCACGGTTTACAAAACTGGTTCAAAACTAAACCCAGTTTTTGAGAAACAAATTGGCCCTTAATGTGATTTCAATGTTTACCTGGCCATGTGCTTGTGTTGTGATTTGACTTGTGTGTAGTGTTTTGCTCCGTCTGGTAGTGTCATGTGATGCCTTATTATGGTAAATGAGGCCTTGCCCTTTCCTGCTATTGGTTAGGTCAGTAGGGTCATTGTGTATAGCTTTACCGGTCTGTCAGGTGGTAGATTTCATGCAATTCATGCTTCTCACATTCTATCCAGACCTTGGTCCTGATCGAGCAGGTTAGAGTTCTTTTACTAATTTCGATGTTTAATTAATTCTCTATACTTTTGACTATGACATTTAAAGTAAATATAAAGTTTATCTATAAGGTTAAAGATTAGAATAAGTTAATAACTTTGCTTAATTAAGTCTCACTGGTTTTAAATAATCTGAATGTTGAAAACTACATTTAAATGTGTATGCAGCACCTTGAACTTTTATACTATTTTGATGACTGGGTGCTGGTTTCCCATTTGATATACATAAAATCTTATTCATTTAAAAGCCTCCTGACACATTGTCTTTGGTATGAACATGTATTATTTATTTTAGATCTATATATCTTTTATTACTTTGAACTGGTTAATGAAGCTGTTGGCTATAAAGTATGTTTGACAAATTTTTTTGATTTACCAACTTGAAGCTTAAATACCAAAATCTATTTTTTTAACTTTTATTTTTATGTTTTATCTGTAAAGCCCTATGAATCTGTTAGTTGAAATTAAGAGTTATTGCCCTTTATTCAGAGTGCAGTATCTATACTTATAAATTAATAAATTTTGCAAATAAACTCCCGAAACGGTGCACAAGAGTTCTTACTTACTCCTCTAATACTACATTACATACAAGATGATGTCCGTAAACTATATTTAGATTTCACTCGGATAGCAAGCATCGTACATAAAATTAAAAGTCTACTTAAATTTTCTAAAAACAGCCATGAGATAGCATCAACGTGAGTATGGTGGCGTTTCCGGTTGGCGGATCTAAGCTACTGGCAAATTTTAATGAAACTGACAACAAACAATCGATTATTTATTTCATAAAATTTCATCACTCAATTATTCAATCAAAACATGATTTAAATGATTTAAAAGAAATAAGATGTGTTAACCGATTAAAAAGCAAAAAGTGGAAATTATTTTCGTCAATCACCGATCTCAATATTGGCGAAAGCATCTAGAACATCATGTCCCTTTTGCTTCATTGTTTTAATCAAGAAATATTTGTAAATAATGTAACTAACGAGTTATTTGATTAAATAGTTTTACAACAAATGATGTTAGATAAATTAAAATACTGTGGTTTCATCAATATTCGTTGAGCACCAATTTTCGTGGATTTCGTTGTTGAGCAGATCCACGAATTCAAATGTTCATTGAATTACGAAATATGACATACATTTGTATAGGCAAAGCTTTTGTCCACGAAATTACGTATCCTCGAAAATGTATGTTTTACACAATCAACGAAAATTGATGACAACGAAAATTGATGAAACCACAGTACAATTAAAACAATAGTTTGGGAAAAACGAGCTAAATTTACTTGGAAATTTTTAGAAACATATTGTTGCCGGGAAAGCCACTAATATTTATTATGGCAAAAATTTATTGAATGTCATGTGTGTAATATAGTCACATGACATTCTAATATCTGATTCTGGTAGCGAGGAATGTTAAAAATTGGTGACGAGTTAATGATAAGAGTAATTATTATAAGAATGGGAAATATATGAATGTATCGAAATACTACAATACATATTTAGCATGTGTATGATTTTCTTATGAGTTTATCGGTAAAAAAATTTGTATTTTCCTTCCATACTGAGAGCATTGTGGCAACGAACCCAACGTACAATTTGTATTTTGTAATTAACTTGCTTACAAAAAAAAAAAAAAAAAAAAAAAAAAAAGAGATCGAGAAAACTTACAAATAAGGTATTGTTCAAATACAATTAAAGCTGTAAAGTTTTGTGCTGTAATAAAGACAATTAAGTTTTTTTTTCTCTAAAAAAGTCTTTTGCATCAATTACTCGGCCGATTCACAAGGGGAGGGTGTGTGTGTGTGCGCGCAAAAGCTTATTTTTACACGGGTACATGGGTTTTGGTTTATGAATATGTAGATGTATGTACCTTATTGCTGTATAAAAAAACCTTTTTACTTATCGATAAGGGTACAAATATATTTATAAACCAAGACCCAAGTACCTGTGAATTTTTACCCCTCCCCAACCCCAAAAATCAATTTATTTGTAAATTGTGTATATTCGCTGCTTTTACCCTTCATCAAGATGAAATAAGAACATCTGAAGTGCAATATCCGAAACATTGTATGAGGTTTCACATAAACATCAATTAAAGACATTTAATTTTTCAAGTTTTCACAAAAAGTGAGTGGGATGGTGGCGTACATTTACTTCATGCGGGATTTTGAACAAAGTATTTCTTCCATCTATAAGTATGTAGTCTATCAGTAAAATCTACAATTTACAGATACAATTTATTTAATTTTCTGTTTCAAATGGTAACTATGTATATAAATTCAATTTCCCGCGCTTGTGCGGATGTTTATCTAGTTGTATAATTTCAAAACAAAATGAGGAACCGGTGCAGTTTTTGGTATATTTAAAAGTAAAAATCCAAAAATATCACAAAACATATTTATCATGAGGGAAAGCGTAATATTAAACATTTTGTCATACCATTATATTTCATGTGATGTATGTTTATTTATGCTTGTAATTATTTGTTTTGCAGATTTACATGTATTTATATTTACAATTTTAGGGCTCATTATCGATCATTCGATCAGATTATAATAAATGCATGAACCCTGACCGCATCTTATTCTTATTGGACCTGTAACACTTGTATAACTCCTGATATGACTCATTCCCCGAAGAAGCAGGACCCATAATGTCACTCTCAAATTTTAGAGTGATTTATTCTCGGCTGCGGTGTTTTTTGATTTTGAACATCATCTGCTATACATTATGTAGTTTTGAGTCTTGTTATCTGTTAATTGAGACATTTATGAATTTCAGTTTTAGCTCTTTTGTAACAAAATAAAACCTTTTTCACATTTCAGTGAGTTTACAACTAGTTGAATTTCTTTATCATTCTACTTCACTCAGCCACAGTTATTATCTCAGTTACAAACCGTTTACGTTTAACCCATTGTTAACAAGTATTTGATTTTCTTCACTTTAACACTGTGACACTCTGCCACAAAGAGGTTGTCTCTGGTGTCTACACATAAACCCCATGGAGCCTGTAGATCACAGTTTTCAATGTAACGGAGGAACTGTCCGTCCTGATCTAGGATGTGGATACAGTTGTTGGCATAGTCTGCTGTCAGGATCTGGCTCTGGCTGTCTGTTGTTATGCCATATGCAGAGAATAATCTCTTGTTAGTAGAGGGTTGACCAGTGTATCTAAATCGGAGTTTTCCTGCCTGATTAACCACCACGACTGCTCTGGCATTAAAGTCAGCAACACAGATATCCAGGTTCCTGTTCTCACTGATGTATTTTCTGTCACCAAAATGAATAAAAAGATTTCCTATTACTATCAAACTGAATGGTTTGTTTCTCTTTGGAGCCAGAGTAACAGACAACTTTTGATTGTTTAAAATCACTGTCCATAATAACCAGGAGGTCACCAGAGGAGGTACTACAGATGTTTTAGGTTTCCACCCCTGTAGTTTGATCAGTTCTTGCATTTGGTCATTCTTCATTATGTTTACAGTTCTTGTATCAGGATCAGTATAAACTAGATCTCCACTCCTTGTCACTGCTATGTCACTTGGTCTGTTCCCTGACTTTGTTTGGACTGATTTCAGTAGTTTGCCCTGGAGATTATGAAGTTTCATGATTTTGTTATTCCCACATGTCCAGATTTCTTCATCACTGAGACAGGTAACACTGTATAGCCCATATTCATATCCAATTTCTATGGTGGTGATGAGCTCTGGTTCATCAAGCAGTGATTTGACTTGAGGACAGGATGCAGTCTCTGGTGTCTTCATTATGTAGCCATGTTCTTCTGTTGTAATGGATAATTCTGACAGAGAACCAAACATTTGATGGAGCTTTTCTCTGTTGATTTGATGTGGAGAGAAACTTGGTAATGTAACATTGACTCTAGGAGGTAAAGATCTGAATTCAACATTCTCTGATTTGTAAGCAGATGTTAGGGAGACATCATTAGAGTCAAGTATTTTCTTCAGATCAGCTATGCACTGTTTTACCTCAGAAGTAATCTGTTTGATTTCTTTTTCCTGTTTATTTAGAGCAGCCAGGTGTTTAGTTTTCATCTCATCAATTTCAGATTTCTGTTTGTTGACAATTATGTCAATTTCACTGTGCCATTCTTCTCCTTGTTTGGTGACAGCCTGTTGCCAGTTTCTCACAATGATTCTTCCAAATTGACTTTTTCAGAGTTTAAGTCTAATGTAATTTCCTCATATGTAGGATAGATTCTTTTCTCTAGTTCTTTTAAATCTTTTTTTAAACCATTTGTTTTTGAACTTAGTTTCTGTAGAGCATCTGATAAATCGTGTCCTTTATGTTTCCCAGAGGAGAGGCAGGTAGAACAGACAGGAATGTTACATTCCTCACAGTAAAGTTCACAATGTTTCTGGGTGTGGTTTGGACATTTTGGGTAGTTAGGAGTAGAAGTTCTGTGTTTGTATGGTACAACATTGTGTCTTTTAGATGCATCAGAGAGATGCTCCCCTACACAGGCCTTACACAGGTTAATCTGACAAAGTTCACAATGACTCTGTAATGCAGCTTTTTGACACAGGTCACAGAGGAGGAGTACTTGAGCTCTGTCCAGCAGGTCCATCACTGGGGCTTTTAAGTAAATTAGTTAGATGACCTGTAATTAAAAAATAAAGGAAGACTTTAATCACATGATTACAGGAACTTGAAGCAATTCTAAATAAAAACGAGAAGTTTTTACATCCCCCACAAACAAAGTTTGGGGGGTGGGGTATATAAAAGGTGTTTAGAAAGTTTATTCCTCATTTTTCTTTTATTTCGAAAATAAATATTATGAGAAGATATTTACAATGTGTGATATTTTATGTTTACATTGTCCATTCTTGCTACTGATAAGGTTTTAACTGTCTTTTGGTGAATCAATAAGGGGAGGGCAGGTATTAAAACAGGATGATGTCCGTGCCAAAAAATAGGAATGGCGCATATTTGTGACAATTATTAAGCACACAGGTCAAAACATCCTTTCAAATACTATATGCAAAAATTATTAAATCCGTCAAAAATTTCAAAATGACAAACCTGTTCTTTTGAAAAGTGATCCTATACCTATGCTCATCAGCTTGTCTAATGGAAGATGAGCTATGAAGAAACAAAAAGAAGAAATAAGTCCGAGTTTTCATGAATGATGCAGGATAACCTCTGATGTAGAGAAATGTTGTTTGAAAGATAAAAGCCGAGGCTTTTATTTTTCAAACAACATTTTGAGACCGAGGAGGTTATCATTCACGACAACAAGGACTTCATTTCATTCGACCATGTCTACTACAATCGCTAAATTACGGATGATTGTTTCCTCTGTAGAGAAACGAATTAGGTCACCATGTCTCGATTACGCTGTTCCATTTAACACCAGGGTTAAAATTTGTATGCTTACCTTTGTATGGAATGCAGACGATGTGAGCTTTTGTTACATTAAAAATAGCCTTTTTAAATTACACATTTGTTCGTAATATGTATTGATCAGTTAAAATGAATATACAATAACAAAACTATGTTCCTGTTTTACTGCTAAAATCACGTTGTTTAATGTGTAGTGAGATCTGTGGAATAGCCAGCCACGCTTAGCTATAAAAACCGACATTCATCAGCAACTTTATGCAATTAACAGTGTTTAAAACTGCAAAAGACGACACATCGATGCGGTCTAAACAAGTATTTTATTCTACAGCCAAAAATGCATTTGAATTAATCTGATTTGATACGTGTTTCTGATCTGATAATTTTTTGATGACGTTCGTGATCTATTGGAGAATAATGTCCGCCGCTTTCCTTTGATCTTCGCAATAATCGTGGTAGAATATCCTTTATTTTCACTCAAAATGAGCAGCATTGCTATCATTAGGGTGTTTTAAAGATGTTATATGCGAGGGTTGTTCCAGAAAAACGCGAACTCTTTTGATATCTTTTGATACACTAGGACTATTAAGTTAAAAATTGCCATACATCATAATCAACATTTTTTTATTCATGCCTAAAAATTTAAATAAAATATCTTTACAAATAAAATTTTCCCCTCAATTAAAGGAATCTAGCAAATCAGCTGTCGGCACAACACTGACGACATCAAAACGTATCTCGTAGTGTCTATGGATTTGTTCTGAAGCCTGTGCCTTTAAAAATAATTCATTTATTATGTATAGATGTACATTGTATTTAATTTTGTTTTTTTGAACAAGTTATACACCTCAAATACTATTGGTACCAAAAGATTGTGGAGTCAATTATTTCAACAGACAATTTCACAATCTCGATCATAAACCTAAATCATTAAATTATTTTACAGCGGTCTTCAAGTAGGCCTATGACGTCTCGCTCTCATCTTTTCAGGTTGTCTTTAATTTATCTAAGTGCTCTATTCTCTTCTATCGGATAACCAGTCAAATCAACTTCAAGCTCCCTCTACATGTATTAGAGATAAACACGTTTCCCAAAACTTATGTTTGTGTTTTTTCATCTTTAACATCTCTTTTCCCTATGTAGAGGAGTCATATCCCATTTAACATATTGTTTCTTGAAAGTTTGGTTCTCCACATTACCGGTTAACATCGCCATTTTTGACGATTTCTAATTCTAAGCGCTTTGGCACATATCGTCATATATTTGTCAAAAGTGATGTCAAATAAATGAAATTTTAAGCATGAGATCACCAAATTACAGAGAATTTATTTAAGAATAAAGGTATCATTTTTAGGTAACCTTGGGTGACCTATTGCTATCCGTTTTCGTCCGTCGTGTGTCGTGTATTAACATTTGAACATTTTCAGCTTCTTCTCTTCAACCACTCAACCAATTTACACCAAATTTTACATAAAACACCCATGGGTGAAGGGAAACAAAAATTGTGAATTTCATGGTCCCTGCCCCCCTGGGGCCTGAGGAGTGGGGCCAAAACCACTAAAATTAATACAATCTTTAAAAAATCTTCTTCTTTACTCCTGGACATCAAGCAGTCAAACTGATAGCATGAATGTAATTACCATTGAGTCTTCTGCCAAAATTGTGAAATTCATGGCCCCAGGTTCAGGGGTTCTAGTGCTAGGGTGGGGCTCTTTTGATTAGATAGTGAAAATACATTCTTTCTTTAAAAATCTTTTTCTCTGTTCCTGTTCTCTGTTCCTGAGTATTAAATAAACTAACCAAGTACATATTTATGATGAGGAAGAATGCCTTTCCAAAATTGTGAATTTCATGGCCCCAGGGTCAGGGGTTCTAGTGTTGGGGCAGGGCTCTATTGATTATACAGTGTAAAGAGAAAATGCAGAATTTGTTTAAAAATCTTCTTCTCTACTGCTGGGTTTTCAACAAACTAACTAAATATATAGTTATAATGAGCAAGAATGCGTCTACCAAAATTGTGAATTTTATGGCCCCAGGGTCAGGGGTTCTGGTGTTAGGGCGGGGCTCTATTGATTATATAGTGAAAATACATAAATTATTTATGATAAGCAAGAATGCCTTTTGCAAAATTGTACATTTTTATGACCCCAGGGTCAGGGGTTCTGGTGTTAGGATGAGACTCTATTGATTAGATAGTGAAAATACATTCTTTCTTTAAAAATCTTCTCTGTTCCTGGGTATTAAATAAACTAACTAAGTACATAGTTATGATGAGCAAGAATGCCTTTGTGAACTTTATAACCCCAGGGTCAAGGGTTCTGTTGTTAGGTTGGGGCTCAATTGGTTATATAGAGAAAATGAAGAAATTGTTTGAAAATCTTTTACTCTGCTCCTGGGTATTAAGCAGATAAACTACCTTATATAGCTATGATGAGCAAGGGTCATTCTTCCTGAATTGTGAATTTCAACACCCCTGGGTCAAGGGTACCATAGGGGGGGGGGGCTCTACTTATATACTGAAAATGAATTAATTGATTGAAATCTTCTCCTTTGTATTAATCAAACATTTTTGATAAGCAAGGGTGCCTTTTCCAATATTGTGAAATGTATGGACCAAGGGTCATGTGTGGTATTGGCACTATACTGATTATTGCTGAATATTACTGATTTGTGGAAATGCATTTTTTGTTCCCCTACTCTGTCTATGGGTATTTAGTAACAAACTAAACATGCAAAGTGTATAGTTATGATTAGCAATGGTGCCTCTTTCAAAATTGTGAATGCCATGACGTCTAGTTTAAAAAATGAACCAAAGTCAATCGTTGTAAAATTGTTGCATGATACTCAGGTGACCTATAAGGCCCATGAGCCTCTTGTTTGAGTTTTATAGGAATGTAAAACGGGTTGGTCACGTGATCAAATCCCATGAAGCCCGAAGGGATGTGATGTCACTATGAAATTACATAGACCGCTTATGACTAAACAATCAATTTAAAAAAATTGACGAAGATGTAACCACCTTGTTAAAATAGTGTTATATAAGGGCAAACATTTGCAAACATTTGCAAATGTAAATATTTAGGTATAAATTTTGACATAATCTTGCCGTATAGCTTGATAACAAAGGAAATTTCATTTACAATGCTATTTGTAAAAGTAAAAAAAATTGCCGTGCACCGACATCCCATCTTTCACACCCTTTAAATGCGGTTTTTATACGCATATGAAATCAAAAGCCTAAAATATTTTGTTAAAATATCTAAAAGATGATTTTCCAACAGCATGCAAAAAATTATTTGTTTTTTAGTTTTGGTTGAATAGTATTTGTAATATTCAAAAAGTTCCTGATTTCTTCTGGGACAACCTTCTTATATTTTCATATGGAAGAAAAACCCTGTTACTTCTTGCAAGAAATGAATTGACATAAATCTAAAGCAAATTTCTTGTGATTTTGTCATAATTGAAAATTCATCTCTTTAGTAAAGCACTACTTTGAAATTTTCGGAAATATTTCATCATGGAATAAACTTTCTTAACACCCCTTAGGAATCACCTTGTCCGTCCGTCTGTCTGTGCAAACGTGACCGGTCCATATCTTTCTTACAGAGGAACATTAGATTCTACTACTTTACACAAACATTGTTCATGATCTGAGGGTGTGTCATAATATTGACCAAAAGTTATTTGTGCAAGTTTAAGGTCACTGACAGAAAAAGTTTATAATTCGTGTCCGGTCTATTTCTTACTTATGAATAAACTTGGTGAGTTTCCATTTTACAAAGATTGCTTATGCCCTGAAGGTGTGTCATCACTTTGACCCTTGGTCATTTTTGCAAGTATTAGTGACTTGGGACCTTCTCTGAAAACCAAGCAGGTGTATTTGTCCATTTGGGGCAGTTCTAGTTTAGTTTTGTGTTTGAAATTCTGAAACAGTTACACAGTTCAGAAATGACAGTAGGGAAATATTGATCAGCGTTTTCAGTGAAACAAATACTCTGTACATCTCATTTGAAAAGTTTTATTAGGTAGTAAATGTCATTTATATTTTGTAGTACATTGTAATTTATATCAAGGTAATCTACAGTGTAGTACAAGTGTACCAATGATTTTTTTTAAAGCAATATATTACATGATACTACACTTGAGATCATCAATGGGAACAGAATAATGTCTTATAACATGTTACATCTGCTAAATATTATCTCATCATGTAACTTACTAAAATCT